CTGACCTTTGTCCTGTCTCTGTGCACTTCCGAGAAGACTTTATTTTCTCTCCAAGCCCTTTTGAGATAGTTGAAGACAGCTTGTGGACTGGGGGGACTTCTTCTACAAGCTGAACAGAACCCCTCATTTTCTCTTCTTTCTTCATGTGCTCTGACCCCTAACCATTGCGGGAGGGTAACAATGCATGTTGCAATGATGTTCATCTAACTGTGGAGCTGTTGTAAAACATTCAGAGATAAGACTGGCATGTAGCTGTTGGTGCTTGGGTGGGGTGAGTGGGGGACAGAAAAATGTATTCAAAATTCAGGACAATCACTGTAGTAGAACTATCTGAATTTGGTGATGTTTTCAGACAAACAAGACTAAGAAGGAGTTAAGCTTACACAGAAAATGAAGGTACATGTTAGATATTAGCTGATTTATATAAAAAAGGTTGCAATGAGGACACAGTCCAGGGGAAAAGGAAATCTGGGAATTTGGTGACTGTTTCAGAAAAAAAACCGCAGTAAAAGAGGTGACATTTTCAGCATCACATTGAAGACTGAGAAGTAAAATGAAAGCAGAGATGAATATAAACACATAGAACCAGAAACAGCTGAAGGAACTTAAGGGCCTGTACTGGGACTACTGCTATTTAATTTTTTCATTAATGACATAGATAGTGGGATTGAGCTCCCCCTCAACAAGTTTGCAGATCACGCAAAACCGCACTGTGCAGTTGACATGCTTGAGGGAAAATATGCCACACAGAGGAACCTTGTCAGGCTTGAGGAGGGGGCCCATATGAACCTTGTGAACTTCAAGAAGGCCAGGTGCAAGGACTTGAACTTGAATCAGGGCAATCCCCAATGTCAGGACAGACTGGGTGATGAATTGATTGAGAGCAGCCCTGCAGAAAAGGACTTGGGGATACTGGTGGGTGGAAAATGGGACATGAGCCAACCATGTGCACTCGCAGCCCAGAAAGTCAACTGTGTCCTGGACTGCATCAAAAGCTGCATGGCCAGCAGGTGGAGAGAGGTGATTCTCCCCCTCTACTCCACCCTTTTGAGACTCCACCTGGAGTACTGCATCCAGGTCTGGGGCCCCCAACACAGGAAAGGTGTAGACCTATTGGAGTGGGTCTAGAGGAGGCCACAAAGATGATCAGAGGTCCAGAGCACCTTTGCTGTGAAGACAGACTGAGACAACTGGGGATGTTCAGCCTGGAGAAGAGAAGGCTCATCAATATATTAAACGGGCGTGTAAGAAAGGTGGAGAAAGACTATTTGCCAGGGCTAACAGTGATAGGACAAGGGACAATGGTTTCAAACTGAAAGAGGCTAGATGTGGATTGGATATAAAGAGGATATTTTTTTGTGATGAGGGTGCTGAGGCACTGGAACAGGTTGCTCAGAGAAACTGTGGATGCCCTGTTGCTGGAAGTGTTTAAGGCCAAGTTGGATGGGGCTTTGAGCAGCCTGGTCAAGTGAAAGATGTGCCTGACCATGGTGGGGAGGGTTGAATTAGATGATCTTTGAAGGCCACTTCAAGCCCAAACAACTCTATGATTATGTGATTTAAACTCAGGTACCGACTTACTTTATTGGGACATCAGTTCTGGTAAAATCCAAATGCTTTGTAAAATAGGACAGATTTGAGCAAATCACTTACTTGAAAGAGAACTAGGAAAAAAACCTGACAACACTGATTTTTTCCTCTCTTTCTTCACCTACAGAATCCAGTGTTTTCTTTGTTGCTTTTTGAAATAAAATTCAGCAACTGTATAGAGTCCAAGTCAAGACACAGATGAACAGCTTTAGCCACCCTAAAGCTAGTTTTCTGAAGTATGCATTCCTCCCTGAAACATTTAAGCATTTTTTTACTATTTTGCAAGTGAAGCAAATTTTTGAAAACTTGTAATCATTCATGAAATAGAACTTTATTTATTTGCATCTTTTTCTTTAGAAATGTTGGAAAGCCACTTCCAAACACCTAGATACCCATGCTCTATTTAAAAAACACCCAAAACAAGCAGAAAAATTGGCATTATAATGACTGTAACTCTAGAGGAGGTATACAGTCTATGCAGTTTACAGTCAGGGAAGAGGTTGGATGGAGAAAAAGGATGGCACTTTCCTCAAGGGATTTCTTCTTTGAACTCTCTGGGCTGGCACTCTAGTGTTGCTTTGTATAAGTCAGTTTTGGTTTATATTCAGCCCTTTGAGTCAGACATTTTAAGGAGCAATTTACATCCACAGGAAAGCTAAGTAGAATTAATGCTCATGCTCCCATGGGGACTGGGATTGATACTATGACTGCTATTATGTCTAACTGTTTCATGGACAGTATAAAAGAGTAAGGGATTTGTGTGTCCGTCCATCTGCTGTCCTGCCATCTGTGAGTGCCACCATAGAGGTCAAGCACAGTTTGGCTATCAGAGATTAAATGGGATTCACTGGACATAAAAAACACTGCATTAGAGATAACACAGTTCTATTTGACATTCCCACAGGGGAATTAGAGAGACAAGGATTATGCAAAGTATTATTGGCAGTTTAATGTCAAATTTGGAAGAGGTAAATTAGGAACTGGTTCAGAGACTACAAACAACTTTGGCCCTCATGATTTTCAAAGGGCACAAAACCCAAAGAGATTTGTGGAATGTATTATTTCTCCAGAAGATATTAATGACCATTGCAAACATGGACTTTTATGCTAGTTTGCAGATTTTGCCAAATTTAAGGGCAAATCTAAAACTAGGAGGCACTTTGCAATTACTTTCCTAGTAAAAGCAAGAGCTGGTCAGAGGAAAGTACTTACAGATCTGGATGTTTTTTCTAAATAGATAATTTCAGTTATTTGTTAAATGCGAAATGTCCGTATTCTTTTTTGATAGCATGCATTGCCAAATGTGATAGATTTTTCACAGAGAAAAATAATTGCTGCTTGACAGAGACCAATATTGGCATAGTTTGAATTTTGACAATATTCACAAAGTTTGAATCCATTTTGTTTTAAAATACCTGTGGAAATGTAACACTGTGCTAATTCATTCCCTTCAGCAGATTTTTTTGGGGAGGAGGCAATATTATAAAGTAGCATGAATAAATTAAATAATATGATTAATAAATTATGTAAATTTTGTATTTTGGACCTCTTTTTTTCACATTTCAACAGTTTTAAAAGCAATGTTTTCTACAGGAGCCAATTTAACTCAAACAAAGACTGCAGTTTAAATATGAACATATCATTGACTGTGATCCTGCCCACACAGGTTTGATTTACTCTTGATTTAGCTCAACAGTTACATGCTCAATCTTTGCTGCCTTCAGTAGATATTTTTTTTTCACATAGCTGAGATCTCTAACACATAAATTACTCTTCCTCTTGCTTTTCTTTCTTTTTCTTTTTCTTTCCCAGATTGAATGCTCAAGTATATCTGACTACTCAGAAAAAATTATCAAGGCCAACCACTTGGACAACAGTAAGGCATATATAAATACTTTTTTCTTCAGGAAAAAGAGAAGATAACTGCTTTGCTTTTTCTGATTAATTTATGTTGTGTGGTTTATATTAAATGGTAGTTATGGATAATTTACTTATGTAAACACAAAACTAAACACCTCATTCTAGGCACTACAACAATTCCTCACAGGAATTACTGTTACTTCCACATTTACTTCTAGGCTCACAGACAACGGAAGCAAATAGGACTCATCAACAGGCGGTATGGGTTAGCAAAACAGACAGAAGACCCCATATTAGAGCTGAACTTTTCAGATTAATTCTGCCACTTGAATTCTACCTTATCTCTTAAGCAGAATAAACACACCTGCACATACTGGCATTCAAATTGAAATAAGCTTCAAAACAAAAATGCTGTATTGCTACGTATTCCTTAGCAATACAGATTTTTTTGCTAAGATTTCTGGCTTTAAAGAAAAATGCTTTTTTTAAAAGCTTTGAAAAACACACATTCAATGTTCAATTCTCAAAAAAATTAAATTCTCAAAATAACAGTATCATAGAAAACTTTTATTTCTTGAAAAGAAAACTGTTGAAATTTCCAGGGACATGGAAACACTTCAATTAAAAAAAAAAAAGCAAACTAAAAATACTCCCAACCTACTGAAAACTCTTAACAAAAAATAATCCCCAACAAGCTCTATTTCATGTGTTCAGTCCTCCTCCAAACCACAGCACACAAGATATCTTTGTAGCAACCTAAAAATCAGTCTTTTTTTAACTGAGGCTGTGAGACAGCTTTTGTTTAAAAGCGCTTTTTGTGAAGAGCTTGTCTTTGCTGCAGAGCAGGTCAGGTCATAGCTGGTTGGGCTGTACCATGTGCCCCTGCTTTTAGCTGTGCCTGTGCTGATGCTGTGCTTGCACATGCGCAGGAATAGATTTATGTTCTGGTTTAGATCTGTTCTAATTTTTATTGCTGTCACTGGCAGTTTCTGACAGAGCTCTCTGGGAGCACAATTTATTGTACAGCATGGGTATTCAAGTGGTGTGGTGTGAAACAGCAGTGACATGGGATTTAAGAGACCAGACAGCATATGCAACTTTTGTTTGGTTCAGGAAAAGAAAGAAGTGAAGGACCAGAAAATACTCTGCTCCACAGTAGGGATAAGGTGCTAAAGCAATGAGGAGTGACCTCAGCTTGGTTGTCCTGCACCTTTGGTGCAGAGCACATATATTTGTAGAATGGTCTTTCATCAGACAGCAACACAAATAGCATACCACAAATCAATCCACATTTGGACTTCCAGCAACAGGAATTGTGTGTAAAAGGATCATTGTCAGAGTAAATTAGAAGGTTCCAGTGCACTCCAGAGGTTGCAGAAGGTATTTATCTCTGCTTCTTCCTCCTGTTTCTCTGAGGAGCAAGTTCTTGGGAAACTGTGGAGGAAGAAGCAGAGTCCCCTCCCCTTTGGCAGGACACTTGCCTGGACAGGGTCAGCAGTCTGCCTGACTGCAGTTTGGTCTCCAGTATAAACAAATTACACACCTGAACTAACATTTACACTTTCACACTCTACACTGACACACATTCACTTTTATTTTAATGCAGCCAGGTACTGAGCCAAAGAATCTTGTTGCTCATGAACATTTTTCTTTTTTTCCCCCTAAATGTTTAGAGAAATGCAGAGTCAGCAAAAGGGGCTGAACCAAGAGAAAACCCACTGTTTCCAGAACAGATACAATACAGCTGGGGACAGCACAATCTGTTCCCACATGATGCCCTATGAAGATGTTTCATCAAAGTGAAGGGAGGTGGGAGGAACTTGTGCTGCTGCTTCTGCTTACACTGTGACTGTTCTAGGTGTAAACAGAGGGCTTCAGAGTCTGCAGGTGTGTCATTCTGGCAGCTGTCAACAGTCCTAAAATTTACTCTGAAAGAATTGTGGCAGTGAAAGTTCTCAGGAGAAAAGAGAACTAAAGAGAACTCGTGGCTGGAGCTTATAGACATGAAGAGTCTTCAGTATAACAACAGATGAACTATTGAGCTACTAACTGTGAAAGAAAGGAGTGTAAAGAATGGGAAGGAGAAGAGAACTCTGCTCTTTTCCAATCAGGTTGCTCTTACCAGCTGATACTTTGTGTTACCAGTCTGAATCAGTGTTCCCAACTTCTTAGGGGGCCAGTCTGAATTTAAAGTTTGCTATACAAGTAAAGTGGTCACATCTGGATAGGGAAATACTAGTACTGCATGTATTTGGGAAAGACAAGACATCATTTTCTCTGGGCTGAGTTCTAAAAATCACTCAGTCCACACTTCCAGTCTTAATCAGCTAACCTAGTTCTACCTAAATGAAATTACCTTCATCTTTCCCAAACTGAATGTTGACCATTTCATCAATAAAAATTGCCATCATTAAAATTGCCGTTTATTAAGTGTAATCTTACCAATTAGTAATGGAAAGTAAAATACTCTCTCTTCACTTTATTCCTAAACTTCAAGTGCATCTGTTACCATGTCAAGGAAGAATCCAGAATCATGAGACTTTATCCACTGAAACAAACAATATAAATAGCAGAGAAACACAAGCTGAAATTTATTTGTCACAACCTGAAAATACATTTGTCAATAGGAAATTTTTTTTTTACAAGTGGGAATAATTGGTGACTTGTGTAATAGTCCTAAAACAAAATTATTTGTTACAACTGGACTAAATATGGACCACCATTTAATTTTCCCATAAGCAATACATCTGTTCTAATATCAAGCTCTATTATTACTTGTTGATTTGCTCTTTCAGGGCATAAGCTGTCTCCTGTAAGTAGTATACAGTATTGCCAGTAATTTAATGCTGTGTGCTGTAATAGTGTCTCTGAGGATCTGGTATTCTACTACATCAAACTCCTAGCAGCCTTTTTAATTTCCTTGATACTAATTTGGTGACAAAATACCTGACAGCTATGTTTTCCAGCAGTCACTTTAGGTAACTCTGGAAAGCTGTGCATGTTTAACCCAGATAGAATATTCAGATATGAAAGAGTAAATCATGAAGCAGAAAGGAATGTAAAATTATTTTTCATGAGAAAACCATCTGTACAAACTTCCTTGTTTGTGTACTGTCAGACTAGATATGACTTTCTAAGTTGAGTAAGGTCCCAAGAATTCATGGAAGGAATAAGCCTTACTTTTCCACATTGTGCAGCCATCATTATATGTTTGAAAAGCAGATGAGAATTAGATCCTAGTTCCATAAAGATGAGATCATGTATGTGTAAAAGTGCAGAACTGTTTAAAGGATTCTGGGTGGATTCTTTGCATTATTTGGTCAATGATCTAGAAATCTTCCAAATTCCAAAAGGCATGTAAAATGAGGTCATGCAGGTAACCAGGTAAGGACTGCTTTTGTGTTGTTTTTTAGACGTGGGTTTTTTTGGTTTGGCCTTTGGATTTTGGTGTTTTTTTCCCTTTTATACTGATACAAAAACTTCTGTTCATTGTACTTACTGAAAGTAGTTTTAAAATAGTGTCAAATCAATTGAGTCACATCGAGTCACCCCTTATCTACAGGCATTCAAGAAGGGAATCATATTGAAAAGGTCAGCCTGACATTCACCAGTAAGGAACATAGTCAGGTGTTTTATTATGTGAAACATATTTCTTTGGATTCTTTTTTCAGTAATCACAATATTTAAAGGTAAAGTGGAAGAAGTTGAATTACCCGTGGATAAAGTAGACATCATCATCAGCGAGTGGATGGGTTACTGTCTGTTCTATGAGTCAATGTTAAACACAGTCATCTTCGCACGAGACAAGTGGCTGGGAGGTGCTTTGCATGTCATACTCCTTGCTGGAGCTATCATCATTTATTTTCTGACTACAAGCCTTCCCTTTCCTATTGTCACCATAACAAGACACAGTTGCATCTCCAAGTGCCGTTTCTTGGGCTTTAATGAAAAGATAACAAAGGGAATCTCAGTGAAAGAGCTTTGCTTTTGATTAACTGCTGGCTGGTGAAATTGTATGGACACTATCTAATGCCATTGCTACAGGCTGCAAGAGTTGCTGAGGTTAAAGCTGGTGTGGCAATCTGAAGGAAAACAATAAAGGCATGCAAGAGATGCTTGTCTGGTTTTTGTATGTGCAGTTCAAAATGTGATGTCTTTGTCAGGTGAATAGATTACGAGATCCATTTCCCCACAATTCATCAACAGAAACCTGGAGGGCTAATGTTTCCAGACCGAGCTGCTTTGTACGTCGTAGCAATTGAAGACAGACAGTACAAGGACTTCAAAATTCACTGTGAGTAAGCACCTAACAGTAACATTTTTCTATGATTATTTCCCTAAAATATTTGATTAATAGTGGCTTACTGTAATCTCATCACTGGCAAAGGTTCACAAAAGCCAAGAAATCACACTGACCAGGCCAGTATTCCAGTATAAATATGTACACCAAGGAAACATTAGTCTGCTGATAAATTCAGGAAACTTGGAATAATTTAAAGTGCACAAAGGAAAGATGCATGAATACATTGATGCAGATTTTGCTTATGTTATATTAATACCTTTTTCTGTATTAAAAATGTGGATTATAGGACGTCTAGTTTTGTTGCTGTTTTGATAAATCTGTAGTCCATCATAACAGCCAAGAAAATTGGTAACATTACCTTGACATTCAGGTCCTTATTTTTGTTTTTAATATAGCAAGAACTGAAAAAAAGTAATTGTAAATGTGAAGAAACAAACCTAGCAAAACTGGTATCACCCCAATAAGCTTGTCATGAAGAAAAAAGCCAGAACATGTAATGCTTTTTTCAACTTTTTTGAACACTTTATGTGACTTTTTAAATGAAAAATAAGAATCAGAAATTAGAATTGTACTTTTATGTTAAAAAAAAGTTCTAAATTTTTGTTGTTATACTTCTTGCATAAAATTTACCATTCCTTTGGATTTAAAAAGTCAGGAGGATTTCCTTAAAGTCCCATTGAATAGCTGGTGTTGTTAGTGACCTCTACAGGTGACCTAGTCCTGGATCCTGCCCCAAGCAGTCCAGATTTCACAGTTTAAAGCAGGCCACTGAGGGCCCTGCCCTGCATTCATGAGATGGGGATTCCATAGCTTCTCTCAGCACTTGATCAAATGGTGAAGCACCCTTCAGAGTGAACATGTTTCTAAACATGCAGACCAGCGTTTCATTGGTGAAACTTGCCTTCATTGTTTCTCATCACATGAAGGAAATATGACTTTTTCTTTGTTTTTGCTGCAGCAGATAGCAATTAGGTTCCACCATTAGTCTTTGCTGTCCCAGGCTAAGCAAATCCATTTTGTTGGACACTCCTTATATGGTTCACATTCATCACTATGTGATGACCATGTGGTTCGCTTTCATCACCACAAGCTCATACTCTGGGTTCATGTTCAACGTGTTGCCCCCAGGTCAACCCAGTTTGGATTTATTTGATCATAAGATCATAATAGTTGTGATGGAATAAGTAAGTTTTACATTCTATCACTCTTCTTCTCCCTTTTACTTTTTTTGCTTTTAAAAAATAACCCACAAAATTCCTAAGCAATTTTATAAATCAAAGATATGTGTTTGGGTTAAACTAGTGGGTTCAGTCAACCTTTAAATGAAAATGCCTAACTCCTCCTTCCGTGCCTCCCATCTCCTATCAGAAAAGAAAGTTTGGTGTTTCTGTAATCAAATTCAGTGCTAATATGCAGAACAGCCAGTTGGTCAAAATTGCTATTTTGGGTCAAAAGCAAGCCCAGTGCAGTGGGGCAGTGACAAGAAGTCTGTGTAGGTGCCAGGAAGAATTATACCTTCAAGCACAGCCTAGATTTTTCTCCTCAGGTATGTGATGACCTGACAGCTAAATTCCTTACAAAATTTACAGATGCAAAAACAACCGTGAGCATCCATTCTCTAAAGGAATCAAAGCTATTTTGTCCTAAAAAAACCCTTTGTTCCTCCTTTCACCTTGCTTTTGAATCCCCTCCTTTCTAGAGCTTGAGGCTTTTTCTTTTCTCATAGACAATACATCCGGTTTTGTTTGTTTTTTCATCATTTAAAAGAAAAAGTATTTCAGGTTCTTTTTTCTCTTCTAAAATGCTGTTTTCCTGTAAGACACTTTCTTTTCAGATTTCACCTCAGATTTCCCTTCTCCCCCTCATTTTATATACCTATGTGTCATCAGTTATTTCCATCTCACTACCTATCTGCATCACCATCTTGTCCGTCTGTTTCATCCTTGATTGTGTCTCGTTACATTTTGATTTTTCATCCTTTTCTCTCTTAAGGTGGATAGAGTCTTGCCTTCAAATGAGATACAGGGCTAAGCATTTCAGAGGGCGTTCAAGAGCCATTGTATTGATTAAGATATAATGCAATGTGAGGTTTCTAAAAAAATCTGATTTCTGATTTCCCAAGCTAAATATTAATGCCACAGAGTACTACTATAGCTAGTAAATTATTTTGATGTCCTGCAAAATGTAAAACATGTAATTTTATCTTTTACCTCCTGGACATTCTGCTGGTTTGTCATGATGTACATGCAAATTAATACTTGGCTGTCCCAAATTTTGAAACACACCTGTAATGCTACTCCTGTCAGCAATTCACTTGCTGAAACTAAGACTACTTAAATAATTAAAAGGGCATGCAAACTGATTGAATCTATGAAAAAAAAAGGAAGTATTAACCAGAATGGATAGGAAGGGATAGAATAATCCTAACAGCTACTCCCAAGATTCAACCTGACATATTATATGATTTTGAGCAATACTCTCAAATGTCTAAATCCACAAAAATCATCAACAAATCTCATATAACACATACCAAAAAACAAGGTCTACTTGTTCAAAGATGTACATTGAGGGGTACATTTTGCCACAACTGCATTATCTGTAAAATAGCAATGATGACATAGACAACTGGGGCAGGGAGCGAAGCGCTGAAGAGGGCATCTAAAAATTAGGGGGTGGTAGAAATTCTTTCAAATGAAAGATGCTTTGAGAAACAAAAAATATTTTTCATTATTATTGCTAATCTTGACACTTCCATTTGCATTGACAGGGTGGGAGAATGTGTACGGCTTTGACATGACCTGTATTAGGGATGTTGCCATGAAGGAGCCGTTGGTGGACATAGTAGATCCAAAGCAAGTGGTGACCAATGCCTGTTTAATAAAGGTTTGGTAATTCCAAATATACCTAATTATGAATGTTTACACCTAGCTGTAGGATTCATTGGAGACCTGCTGCTTATGTTTTACTACTATTTTTTGTATGCTTTTCGCTAGCTTCAAAGCCATCATGATAGAATGCTATCACACTAAGGAGGAAAATCATGCAGTTTTAAGTTAGTCAGTACACATATGTAGCACATGCTCAATACTGTCATGTGAACTAAGCATGAACATTGATACCTTGATTTCTTATGGAAAGCATGATGCTCCTTGTGAGTCTGTATCTATCTCGCTACTGCAAGCTGTAACTCAAGATCTCACAAATTTTGCATGTGCAAATACTGGATAGAGAGACATGATGTATTTAGAGATTAATTTTATTTGCTGTACATTCTTGTAAACAGAGGTTGGAAATTACTGATGGAATGCTGCTGAGGAGAAGGGATAAATGAATCCTGTTTGCAGTAGAAGAGACTGAAGCATCAGTTTCTGAATTGGATGGTCGGATGAAATAACTAATTTACTTCAAAACATGTGATTGGAATTGGAACCTAATTTATGTGTCTAATGTCCTAATTCTTAGCCTTATCCAGAATGTTACTGTGCTCTCCCAGCCCCAGCACCTCCAACCAGGAATTATCTTGTACCCTGTTCTACATATAAAACAAAATTGTCACTAATCCCCGTTCACAAGACCAGGTTAAGAGTACAGGAACTGCCTGGAGGAACAATTACAAGGTCTAAAATTCCTTCCACGTGAAGGAATCCTCCTCATGTGGGATGACTCTCATGAATAAAACTATCTGCATCAATAGCAGTGGTAGGATCAGGTCCACGAATCCAAGAGTATACTCATTTATCCCAAGGAGTCAGTTCTAATTTTTCCCTTTCACTTTTTTTCCAGTAACGAACACAGCATTAAGTATTCTCATATGCAAAAAAGGAAAGCCATACTTCTAGTCTGCAGAATCTTTGATGAAAGCAGCAAAAAGGAACAGAAGTAGAAACTCTGAGGAGTACATATGCATGCACAGTCCATCTGCACTGAGGGGAACACAAGATGGTTGTGTCTGAAAAGAGCCTGAGCCAGAGCAACTTAAAATTGCAGTATACACAAAAGAAACATCTATTTAGACTTCATAAAATATATCCAGAGAGTGAGAGATCAGGTAGCAACAGAGGTTGTCTTCTCTGGAATAAAAAGCTGCACACCCTTAAATGAAGTGCAAATCTAATTTTTTATCTAGAAGGTCTTTGAAAGTATTTGGGTTTAAGACAGACAAAAATTTTCAAAGTGTTCCTATTAAGATTTTATATTTAGTTTTGACATCTTTTGTCCATACACTGAATAGTGCTGTACCACACAATGGCACCGTGGGAGCAAAGAGGGTAATAACTGCACAAGCAGAAAACCTCTCTCTGTTCCAGAACCTGTCACTAATCTCACAAACTGATCACTAAAAAAAGAGAAAATTGTCAATAAATGCCATGAAGGAGGGAGGCTTATGTTCAATTTAGCAATATGGAAGAAGGAAAAACAGATTCTGCTTTTTTTTATTTAGTTTACTTTTGCACATGGTTTATTTATATAAAGTGCATTTCTTTCATCCTGAAAATATTTGTGAATTCAGATAATAATATTAGCCTAAGAACACATTTGAGAATAAACAAAGCCATAATGTTTAATTATTCAAATGTTTTATTAGAGCACTTGAGATGGCACAGCTTGTTCATATTACCTTCACAAAGGCATTTTTAGAGGTGTATTCAACCCAAAGCCAGCTAACTTAGGGTGCCTACTAGATGAATCTGAGTTCCCTCTGCATTAGTCAATGGATGGACTAGTCACTAAATGCATTCCTCAGAGACCAGTAAGAGCCCTGTGCTTCTGCAGTTATTTCAATTCCCAGTTTAGATGCTCTGAATTGTTCTACAAAATCAGCAAAATAAAACATCAGCCCCTGTATGCTGTCTAACCATGACACTTATCTAGAATGCTGGAGACTTGAGTAAACTTTCCTCTTCTGTACTCCTCAGAAATTGGATGTAACCCTAGTCTTGAATCCTTTAAGGAACTCTAGCCACTAGGCCACAGGTGCACTGGAGGTGGTGTATGCCGGAAATACAGCAATATTTCTCTGTTGTGGAAGCAATTCCCTTTGAATATCTCTTAACTATATCCCAGGGGCACAGGAATTTTTCTGTCAATTGGGTATCCTCTGTTTAACTTCTAAACCAAATCAGCCAGGGACGGTAGTGGGATCAAAGTATCTTCAAACCACCAGTCAATAACTCAACTCAGGAAAAGTATACAGGTGTCCTCCTGAGGGCCTACTGCTTTCAGTAACACTGGCAGAAAGAATGAAAAAGGTTGTTTCAAACTCAGTAAAACCATTGTGTTTTCTTCTCTGATCCTCTTGTACATTGGAAAAACACAAATGGGTTTGGGTTGACCCAAAACTTCTGCCTGGTAGTTCTGAGTTGGTATTAGCACCAGAGACCACAATAACAATAAATTGATTGTTCACACACCTGTAGAAAAACCTGCAATGAGAAAGTGACAAAGTCAAACAAGAACAAAGGACAGGTCAAATCCAGTTTCTAATAAAAAAATGTTAGAATCCCCTAAATAGACACAGGGGGGGAAAAAATGAAATAAATCTGTTTCTACACTTCTATTTGTCCCACACTGCAATTACAGTTTGCAGCTCCTGCAGGTCAGACACCACTATAAGATTACACAGTTTAATGCTACTTAAAGCACAAATCCTGGACAAAAAAAGTATGCAATGCTCTTGTTTATCAGAGAACACAGCATAGCAACAAAACCCATTAACCTATATGATCAATATCGAGCTCTTTGAGAAATTTCTGCTGTTTTGGAAGTATCATGATTGACCTGTATGAAGCCTTGCAGTATTTTCTGCAAAAAGGTGCTGTTGCTCAGAAAGATCCAGCCACACAGGTGAGGCACATCTCTGCAAGCTCCTGTGTGTCCTGTGTTCTTCTCCCATAATAATCTTGACCCAGAGGTTTAGGATAAGGCATTCCTCATCAAGACACTGTTCTTTTGCTTCACAGCAACTTCAGTGGACTCTCTGATCACATTCTTTTCTCCCAGCTTCTCCAAAAGAAAAGCAAGAGGCACCTATGACACTCGTCTTCCTTCTTCAAATGCTGCTCTTTTTTTTCTCATTTTTCATCTCTACTCTTTTCTCCAAATGAGTATCTGCCTTTGCTTTCTTAAGTGACTTTTCCTGTCACTCT